TCTGCAGAGTTGCGTTCCTTGGGCACGCCAGAAACCTATGAATGTAGATCCGAATTTCGGTTCGCCTCGAAGTAGTAAATGTCTGGGACCTGTATCACTTCGGGCTTTCCTCCCACATCAAGCTGTGACGTAACTGCAATGTTGTTAAAAGCGGCGTTTACTCACTCTCTTACTTAATATTTCATATAGTTAATCCATGCCATGAAACGACACATCAGTGTCATGGGACTTTAAAATAAAACAGTCGCTGAGAATAGTTCCTGTGTCAGACATTTGTCACCTGTTATCCCTTTACGTAGCCTGCAATAAATCACATCCTCATTATGTTTTTCTTTCAGATATATCTTAATCGAAAATCATACGACAGTGGCAGCAAGACATATAGCCACAAGTCTCAATTTGTTGTGAAGAATATATAGAGGATTATATGAGTGTTCATGTCATACTATGTATGCGACACGTGTGTCGTAAACATAGTATGACACGAACACGAATATAATGTTCTATTTATAACCGAAGAAGACTGTTAGCGTTTACCTATAAGGACGACAGCACACTCCGTCGCAGTGGTGACTCAGCATAACACCACTGCCACAGGCTAATTTGCATATCACGTGACCGGACTTTTCTCTTGTTTGTAAACAAACGCGCTTTTTCAGAAATCAGTATAGAACGGACTAATGCAAGTATTTGGGGGCGCTTTACATATTGTTTTGCATAACTATATAGATATGCTACTACAACTGCGACAGTGAGTTGCATGACAATATATATTTATGCATCAAAGTGACCGTTTTGCTAGCTCTCCGTTGGGCTTCGATGACAGCACGTGGAGCCGTACAACCAATGTAAACATAGTATAACTACGCAAAAACAAGTAGATTTTTACGTATTTGCATACTTTCTCAATGAAAGTTAACCATTCTTTGACATTTGTTTATGAAAATGTGTAGACTTGTCAAACATGAAACGGATGAAAAGGATATGCAATATCTTGAATGGACTGTGAAAGATGTGACGAATCGTCACATGGCGCTGGCCTGTGGCAGAGGTACTATGCTAGCTGGCTGCCGGCCGCATGGAACTCTGGGTAGGAGAATGGGACGACAGGTCGCCACAGCAGCGGAAGCACAAATCTTCAGGTATGACGTCGTTTCTAGTGTGACATCATTATGACATCACGTCACAATAAGATTCGAATGACGTCAACAATGCCGCCCGGATGACGAAAACAAAACAGTGTTATCTCGTGACGTAAAATGACCCAAGGGTACATATGATTTTTTATGAACCCCGATATGTTTGCCCTCGTAGATAATAAATTAATACAATGGAAGAATCAGCAGTATATAAGGTGAACTTGAGAAAGTCATTCGTGATAAAGCCATGTCTGTTTGTTGTTTAACGCCGCACTCACCAATATTCAAGCTACATGACGGTGGTCTGTAAATAATCGAGTCTGGAGAAGACAATCCAGTGATTGACATCATGAGCATCGACCCACGCAATTGGGATGCGATGACATGCATCAACCAAATCAGCGAGACTGACCGCCCGATCCCGTTAGTCGCTCTTACGACATGCATAGTCGCCTTTTACGGCAGGCATGGGTTGCTGAAGACCTATTCTAACCCGGATCTTCACGATGATTAAGAAGTCACACAATATACAGTTTCCTTTATGCGTATAAATTGTTCCCAGATAAACTGATCTCAATCATTATACTTACCTCAAATCTAGTCGACAAAGGTGCCGCAATTCGCTGGCAGAGTTGCGTCCCTTGGGCACGCCAGACGCCTATGATTGTGGGTTCGAATAACGGGTCGCCTCGATTATGTTTCTAGGTCTATCAGTACCATAGACAGTTATTGTGGGTTTCACCAAAGTGGGCAGCGTCTAAGACCTCCATGACTTCGGGCTTTCCTCCCACATTATGTGAACGCGCCGCGATATAACTGGAAAAAGGGTTAAAAGCGTCGTTAAAGCCAACTCAGTCACTCACTCCGAAGGTAGAGCAGTGCTTCTTGTCGCCATTTTACATTCTCCCAATTAACTGCTTTGAAATTAGGTCTGTTCTGAAGGGATTATGATGATCATGAACATACTGAATCATAATTCAAACATCATATATAGATAAGTCAGTAATTTTTACAGATATCATCATGTGTAGTTCTGAGTTGGCACATACATGACTATATTAGCAATAAAACTTAACATTAACTAGGAGATAAACATACTGTGTTTTCAATGTAGAGCTTGGTCACCTGTAGATTTAGCCGCGCTAAATTGAATTTGGAACCTAACGCGCAGCATGGGATTTCAAATGTTTAATTTAGCACGGTTAAATCTACTGGTAACCTAGCTGCACATTGAAAACACGGTATGTTTCTCTTCATTCTACCATGACTAAATAAAACACGAACTCTGGTGTTAGCAAATATATTGAGTGAAGCGGCATGGGTCCAGTGTTTGGTTGAGCCCGGTGTTTTGAGTGGGTTCTCGATCTGAATTACGCAATCACCAACAACAGCCTTTAAACAAAATATGACGCTGTATATGCTCAGGCAGTCTCTTCACACTGTAATACTTCACTCGAACAAAATGACAAGCATTGAAAGCATATAAGCACGACAACTTGGTAAGCTAACATGAGATGGGCACCCCAAAGAAAACTAATAAAGCTTTGCAAAGCATTCAGTCTACACCGAAAGTCACCATTATGACGTCATATCGCTCATTGTGACGCAAAAGATGACGTCACAGTCGTATATATATATGTATAGAAGCGCAAAATTACATGCTCTCTGTTGTCCCCAAAACTTAAAATACATTCTCTTTGTAGATTTCTATCGTATTGTTGTAGCCGCAGCTTTGTTTTGTGTAAGCTATAATTGTAGAAATAATTTTTAAATATGCCTACCGACAATGACTAAAAAAGGTATTCTGTGAATCTTAGCTTCCGCGGTGATGCGACCGTCAAATAGGCTGATTCAATCAGAGGGGGTTTATAATGATTTGACAACCTCTGATTGACCAATCAGCATCAATTTCCAAATTCATGGTAGAATTAACAATAATCACAACATGTCATGCATATGCACCTCTCATCACTTTGTAGGTGTCACTCCAGCTTGATAACGGTATCAAAAGCTGCATCGAAACGTAGCTATATGCAATAAACCAGAAGTCGATGTCCATAAAGGTGTACGTTTTCTTACTTTGTCACGAACTTCTAGAATGCCAATCAAACAGTTACTATATCAGCAATCCTCCAAGCTATGCATCACGCAGACAACATGTCATAAGTCTATGAGGAGAGAGCATGGTTCTTTATTCGTTGTGAGTTAACGATGGGCTACATGTAGCTAAGGAATATTAGCACTCACATCTTCCTTTGAAGTTATGTAGCATCTGTATATTAGTAATATATGTATTATTGGAGATTTTCCTACATCTACATCTTGTCATACATCATGACCCGCAGTTTTACACGGATGTCGATATTAATGTTCTTCTCAGCTGACTGAACACTGTGACTCACTTTGAAGTCACCGGATATGTTGAGAAAACACAAGTCATGCCTCTATTTCAAAACACGTCAACATTATTTCATCATTTTACCAATCAGGACGTATTTTTTCAAACTGTGAAATTTGTTGTTCTGAAACAAATGAACAGATATTTCTTATTCAAACGTTTCAAACAATAACACAACATGTCTTTAACGTGGACCATAGCTCATGATACTGATCACTGGATTGTCTGGCACAGACTCGTTGTTTACAGGCAGGAATATTACTGTGTACGGCATTAGACAACAAACACATATTTCTTCTTGAATATTGTGCGAGTGGCGAATACTACCAGTAAAACAAGACATGCTTACCCTTTTCACGAACACATAGTCCTATCATAAATGTTCATCACTTTTACGCCCAGTGGAATCTGTATCAATATTGATTATTCTCTGACGTTTTGAATTTTGAAATTCGTTTCATTACAAATGAGTGAGTGAGTGAGTTGTAATGTGCAACCACAGTTGCAGGAACCCAATTGAATGGAACCCAGGATATCGGCGTTAACAAGTAGGCTACCTCACAGCCCCCCACAAACTAAAATTGTCATTTTCCCCCTTCAGTTTAAACACCATCATCATAATTTGTTTTATACCATTATGACCCTTAAAACCAAAAATAATGATGTTTGTTTGTTTATTGTTTAACGCCGCACTCAGTAATATTCCAGCTATATGACGGTGGTCTGTAAATAATCAAGTCTGGACCTCACAGTCCAGTGATTGACATCATGAGCATCAATCCACGCAATTGGCATACGATGAAATGAATCGACCAAGTCAGCGAGCCTGACCACCCGATCGACAGACACCTGAGGACGAAAGTATTGCCACCAACCCACAACGGTGGTTTTCGATAAATCACGATCTCCTTTCCTAGTGCTCACCCATCCATGAACTACTCGTGATTCTTGTCAGCAGTAACTTTTAATAGACTGATTCCCATTCATTTAGACCATGGTCGACATACCCACTGTCGGTATATCCCACGGAGGAAGACAAAAGGTCTTTCATCGCGTGTATATGCGATGTCAGTCCAGGCAACATTTTGCAAGTCATGGTGATATTCAACTTCGCTTTCTACTCGGGAAATATGTAGAGACAACACATGTTCGTACCGAATGCTATAACGTGACGTCCCACAATCACTTCGTCTGTGTCATAACGGATTCTATTAACTGTATTCACAGGCATTACATACACCAAAACAGAATTAATGTTTGTTTTGAATTAATCTTAAGGGAACCGGATATACAGATACAAAGTAAACATAACGGACAATGAGCTAGCCGACACCATTTCAAAACGACTTTATGGCCAGCAAACATTTATACGTCGATGACAGATATATTGACGGCAAATACATTCATATACGAAACACTGAGCGCGAGGACGCGGATAATGTGAATGGTTTAATGTAAGCCTGTTCTGCTCTATTTGGTGTTCCATTCATGTGTAAGCTCATTCTGACTATTCAAAGGTGTGATCGCTATAGGAAAATATAAAAAATGCCGAAATCAAAGACAGCGTTGATATGAAGTATCTACTGTTACAACTGTTACGACTAAAATGCACAACTCCCGTTGTCTCGCCGCTGTCAATAACAATTTTAAGTAACCACACCCAGAATCACCAGCCGAAACGAAACATAACCAATCGGGACGTATAAGACCTGGTTCGGGAGCGATCTTCATTGTGTACACAGCCGCCAGGGGTTACATATACGTGTATATTTTAAGGTGCGAGTTATATTTTCCCTTCCCGGTTTGTGCGTTGAAGGATGGATTGGTTATGAGAAGACAACGCAGCTTTGGAAACTTACGACAACGATGAAGATTTTTGTGATATTGTTTGTGACACTGCAAACATGCAGTGCGCATTTGGTTCTAACGTTTCCACCAGCGAGAAAGTATGCCTTGGATTTTCTTGACAACTTCAGAACATCAGCTCCGTGTGGAGTTCCCCGTGGTAGGCTGCTTACTCCCTATCTTTTTATTGTTTATGTCTGAATGTTGGTGTCGTTTAGGTGTAATGACTAACTACAAATAATGTGTATGATAAATATGACAGATGTGATTTAGATTTAAACATGTTTAGGATTTGACCATATTATATTGTAAACATGTTCAAAATCTAAACCATCTCTGTAGTGTAGTAGATAGAGCGTCTGCCAGAGATCCGAAGGTCAGTGGTTCGATCCCCTGGCCGCGTCCTGCTAAGCGACGTTAACACTGAGCGTTGCTCACTACTATATAAATTACCATGCAGTCACTAAATCCATCAATAGTAGGCAAAGATTCATCACGGAAACTGTTTACTGGTGTACTACTGTACATTTAACAGATATAAATGGAAACGTGTGGCCCAGTCGTCTTAGGCGCCGGAATTCGATGTGCATAGAGTTGCGTTGCTTAGTGAAACTCCGGAGCCTATGACTGTGGTTTTGAATCCTACATTCGCCCTGACTGTGAATCACACCATATCTGTGCATGATTCACCAAAAAGTTCACCGAAACCTTGTTTAACATCTATGATTCGCATCACTTCGGGCTTTCCTCCATCATCAAGGTAACACGCTCGGTAAAACGATAATTTATATACTGATTAAAGCAGCAACCTCACTCCTTTTACTAACACAGTATATCAACCAAGGCGTGAGTGAGTATGGTTTTACGCCGCTTTTAGCAATTAAGCAATATTCCAGCAATATCACGGCGGGGGACACCAGAAAGGGGCTTCATACATTGTACCCATGTCGGGAATCGAACCCGGGTCTTAGGCGTGACTAGCGAACGCTTTAACCACTAGGCTACCCGACCGCCCCTATCAACCAAGGAAGGACAGTATAACAACGAACGAGGTACAGTATATCAACAAATGAAGTATAGTATATCAACGAGTGAATTACAGTATATCAAGGAGTGAAGTACAGTATATCAACGAACGAGGTACAATATATCAACGAATAAAGTATAGTATATCAACGAGTGAATTGCAGTATATCAAGGAGTGAAGGACAGTATATCAACGAACGAGGTAAACTATATCAACGAATGAAGTATAGTATGCCAAATAACGACGTACAGCATATCAACGAACGCGGTACAATATCTGAACAAATAAAGTATAGTATATCATCGAACGAAGTACAGTATATCAATGAACAAGGTACAGTATATCAACGAATGAAATATAGCATAAAATCGAACGAAGTATAGTATATCAACGAATGACAGAATATCAACGAACGAAGTACATTATTACAACGAAGGAAGTACAGTATATCAACGAATGAATGACAGTATATCAGCGAACGAGGTACAATATATAAACAAATACAGTATAGTACTAGTATATAATAGAACGAAGTACAGTACACCAACGAACGAAGTACAGAATATGAACGAACGAAGTACAGTATATCAAGGAGTAAAGTACAGTATATCAACGGGTGAAGTACAGTATACCAACGAAGTACAGTATATCGACGAGTGAATTACAGTATATCAACGAACGAAGTACAGTATATCAACGACTGAAGTATAGTATATCAACGAACGAAGTACAGTATATCAACGAGTGAAGTACAATATATCAAGGAGTGAAGTACAGTATATCAACGAGTGAAGTACAGTTTATCAACGAGTAGAGTACAGTATATCAACGAACTAAGTACAGTATACCAACGAACGAAGTACAGTATATCAACGAACGTAGTACAGTATATCGACGAGTGAAGAATAGTATATCAACAAGTGACGTACAATACATCAACGGGTGAAGTATAGTATATCAACGAGTGAAGGATAGTATATCAAGGAGTGAAGTACAGTATATCAACGAACGTAGTACAGTATATCGACGAGTAAAGAATAGTATATCAACAAGTGACGTACAGTACATCAACGGGTGAAGTATAGTATATCAAGGAGTGAAGTACAGTATATCAAGGAGTGAAGTACAGTATATCAACGAGTGAAGTACAGTATAACAACGAACGAAGTACAGTATATCAAGGTGTGAAGTACAGTATATCAACGAACGAAGTACAATATATCAACGAGTGAAGTACAATATATCAAGGAGTAAAGTACAGTATATCAACGAACTAAGTACAGTATATCAAGGTGTGAGGTACAGCATATGAACGAGTGAAGTACAGTATGTCAAGGAGTGAAGTACAGTATATCAAGGAGTGAAGTACAGTATGTCAAGGAGTGAAGTACAGTATATCAAGGAGTGAAGTACAGTATGTCAAGGAGTGAAGTACAGTATATCAAGGAGTGAAGTACATTATGTCAAGGAGTGAAGTACAGTATATAAAGGAGTGAAGTACAGTATATCAAGGAGTGAAGTACAGTATGTCAAGGAGTGAAGTACAGTATATCAAGGAGTGAAGTACAGTATATCAACGAGTGAAGTACAGTATATCAAGGAGTGAAGTACATTATGTCAAGGAGTGAAGTACAGTATATCAACGAGTGAAGTACAGTATGTCAAGGAGTGAAGTACAGTATATCAAGGAGTGAAGTACAGTATATCAAGGAGTGAAGTACAGTATATCAAGGAGTGAAGTCCAGTATATCAACGAACGTAGTACAGTATATCGACGAGTAAAGAATAGTATATCAACAAGTGACGTACAGTACATCAACGGGTGAAGTATAGTATATCAACGATTGAAGTACAGTATATCAAGGAGTGAAGTACAGTATATCAACGAGTGAAGTACAGTATAACAACGAACGAAGTACAGTATATCAAGGTGTGAAGTACAGTATATCAACGAACGAAGTACAATATATCAACGAGTGAAGTACAATATATCAAGGAGTGAAGTACAGTATATCAACGAACTAAGTACAGTATATCAAGGTGTGAGGTACAGCATATGAACGATGAAGTACAGTATGTCAAGGAGTGAAGTACAGTATATCAAGGAGTGAAGTACAGTATGTCAAGGAGTGAAGTACAGTATATCAAGGAGTGAAGTACAGTATGTCAAGGAGTGAAGTACAGTATATCAAGGAGTGAAGTACAGTATATCAAGGAGTGAAGTACAGTTTGTCAAGGAGTGAAGTACAGTATATCAAGGAGTGAAGTACAGTATGTCAAGGAGTGAAGTACAGTATATCAACGAGTGAAGTACAGTATATCAAGGAGTGAAGTACAGTATATCAAGGAGTGAAGTACAGTATGTCAAGGAGTGAAGTACAGTATATCAAGGAGTGAAGTACAGTATATCAAGGAGTGAAGTACAGTATATCAAGGAGTGAAGTACAGTATATCAAGGAGTGAAGTATGGATACCGCCTCCTAAACTCCGAGCACGTGAGGACAGAGGAATGTTGACATCCGGGTTGTACAATGTAAACTATGTAATCATACACATCATAGATCCACCAGGTACCAGTCACCACACTTGCCGATCTTTCCGCATCTCTGCGTCGCAAGTCTAACACATAATACTATAGTTAACTTCAGTGAGAAATGTTATAGGGAAACACGCAAAAACACTAAAATGCCACTCATCTTTCATGTACAGTCATCCGACGAGAAAAAGAGTGAGTACGTTATTCGGGTTTAGCGCTGCTTTGAACAGTATTCCAGTTATATCACGGCATGTCAACTTAATGTGGGAGGAAAGCCCGAAGTAATGCAGGTCTGAGACGTTTATCACTTTGGTGAAACCCACGCGAACAGGTATGGTACTGACAAACCTAGAAACATAAACGGGGAGTACAATGATTCGAACCCACGATCATAGGTTTGTGGTGTGTCTGAAGGACGCAACTCTGCACAGCGAATAGCGGGCATGAGACGACTGGGCCACGCGTACCCCCACCGTTCAATAAGACAGGTCAGGGTCTGGGTAAGACTCGTACAGCAGATCTAGTATATTCTAAATATGGACGTGAATAGGTCAATATTTATGTAGTTTGTTGACATGAATGTTTCCGTGGAACGAGGTTGTTTGCCGTTGAACAAATAGCCTCGGGCTTTGCGGACAAGGAAGAAGTGTTCCCAACGGGGAAATCTCTGTGTCATCAGAGCGTTGTGAATCAGCAAGGGAATAATTCGATGTAGGTCAGTAACGACCGTTGGTTATGTTTTGGGATGGATTTTAACTGGAATGTGTATTGTTTTTTGTTCGCTATATGTCACAGATGGAAGTAACGTTCTTTTTCAATGAGTCGTGTTTCGAGGCCCAGTTTTATCATTGGTCTGACCTTACTGTACAGTGTGGATTTTTTTATATAAAATGTGGGTACCCGGAAGAGCAAAATGTCCAGTCTTGAGTTCGAGGCAGAATTTGTTCAAGACTTTAAATCGACAAACCTTAAGATTGTATTTTTTAAATACAATCACTGCAATTAAACTTCATTGCGTTTCAATATCCCTTAAACGTAATGCAATATAGTGTTTGATATATATATATAAATATATATGTATGTATGTATGTATGTATGTATGTATGTATGTTTGTATGTATGTATGTATGTATGTATGTATGTATGTATATATATATATATATATATATATATATATATACTGACAAAGCCACTAACATAAGATTAATGTACAAAGATAGCAATACAATGACGCGAAGCCGTTGGGGATAGGATAAATATACAACGATAAATTACAGCAAGACAGTAACTGTTATTTTTGTAGTGTTCCCTGTGCAATGGGTTTCTAATGCAAGTGATGCATGAATCTGCTAAATTTAACAAACATGTAACACAAATACGGTGACATCAAAGTATCAAAAGATAAATACTCAGTATAAATACATTGTGAGTTCCCTGTATGAGAAAGTACCAAGTATAAACAGAAACAAAAAGTGTTACCTTTGTGACAGCGCAGTTCTGTATGGTGTATGGTGTATGGTGTATTTTCAGTTTTCAATGCCAGACGCCCATACAACACATCAGTACATAAACAATTACAAACATAATAAAAACACAT